ACAGTGCTTTTATTTTGTGTCAGTCTGCTGTACTCTCTCTCAAAGTCAGAGTTTCACTAATAGGCCAGAAAAGCTATCCACAGACCACCTGACCCATTATTCTTGTGCAAAATTCAACAGCATATGGGCAGTAGCTGGGAGCTATGCCACCACACTGTACTATGAAACTGCAGAGTATCTGGGCAATGTTGCTTAGACCATCCTAGAGAAGCCCTGCATTACGAGGAAGGCAACAGCCTAGAGGTATTATCATTGGACTGTTAGGCCAGGTAATGTCCCAGGGTCCCAGGTTTGAAGCCTACCATGGGAATGGTAGAATCTGAATTCAATAACAAAAAAACTTGAATCAAGAATTTAATGATGACCATAAAACTATTGTCAATTGTCAGGAAAAACCCATCTGATTCATTAATTTCCTTTAAGGAAGGAAACTGCCATCCTTACCTGGCTTGGCCTACATGTGACTCCAGACACTGCAACATGGTTTATTCTTAACTGCCCTCTGGTCAATTAGAGATGAGCAATAAATGCTGGCCTAGCCAGTGACAACACCGTCTCATGAATGAACTAAAATAATATTCACCAGAACATATCTCATGATCCATCACAGTCTGGTACATCTAGGTAACTTCATCACACAGCTCTGTTAACAATTGTTTTCTTCTTCATTCTTTCATGGAATTTAAACGTTATTGGCAAGGTTTGTATTTTATTCACCATCCCTAATTCCACTTGAATTGAGTGACTTGCTAGAACATTTCAGAGGCCAGTTAAGAGTCAGCCACATTGCTGTGGGTCTGAAGTCACATGTAGACCAAACCAAGTAAGAGTGGAAAACTTTCTTCTCTAAGGACATGAGTGAACCAGACTTATTTTTATGATAACATGTCTATTGAGACCAGCTTGGAATTCCAGATTTAATCAATTGAATGCAAATCCCACTAGTTGTCATGCTTGGTTTTGAACCCAGAGTTTTAACTTGGCCTCTGAATTACTAGTCCAGTGACATTATTGTTCTGCTATCTCCCCCTGGTTATACACTGATCAATCAAAAAGGAGGAGGAAGAAGGGAGAAGGTAAGCAATATATCCCCTTTCCTGCTGGCTGTCCATGACTGGTTTAATGACTTGGATTCCAGTGAACAAAACCCCAATTTTCCAAAGCCTCACATCAGATCTGCACTCTGTTACTAGTCACAATGCTGAAACAAAGTATACTGCAAAACAAGCATTCCACACCAACTTCAAACAAAAGCCATCCAGTATTCTATACAACAGTCAACTAATCCATGCGTTCCACGTGCCTGGTGTTCCTATGCAATGCAACATTGTTAGTGGAAGGTTGCTGACTTTCATTGGAGGACACTGCATGTGTTCTTTCAGGATGACTTCAAATAGTCCTGGCCTTCGAGTATCCAGCTTCAGACTACATGATATCAGCCATGGTAGCAGTCGTCTGGGCTGGTTGACGAACAGGCAACTGCAAGGACAGAGATGGAGAGGCAATGTTGGGCAGAGTAATATTGTCATCCTGAGAGTAGACAGCAGTTTAGTGCATCTTCATGCCAATAAAACTCCTTCATAGAGTGGCACCTCAGTAGTCCCAGTATAGGGAGATTTCCTGGCATGTTGTGAGGCCTGACAAGCCCCTTTGAGCGCTGGTACTCAGCCTTCAAGGCAACAAATTGCACTGATATGGCAATATCTGAGATTGGTTTGAGCTTCCATTGTAACACTTAGTCATTGGATGACTTGTGCTTATGCTGTAATGGGAGCTAAGATAAACATTTTGATACTGCTTGAAAAAAGAAACATTTTGTCAAAGCCTTTTTGCTTTCATCCCTGGGACAATTTGTAAAAATACCTCTTGGATTAGTATTCTATTGAATTAGCCTGAGTGAAAGTGAAAAGCTTCAACAAAATGCGCATTTTGCAGAAAGCTGAAATATTGACCATTAGGCACTGTATCATAGATAACAAGGTGTAGTGCTGGATGAACACAGCAGGCCAGGCAGCAAAAGCTGACATTTTGGGTCTAGACCCTTCTTCAGAAAATTTTCTACATCTTGTTATCTCAGATTCTCCAGCATCGGCAGTTCCTACTATCTCTCCCAAGCTCTGTATCATGGTTGGTTCCAGAAGTGTTGTCAGGATATCAGTCACTGCTTCCATGCTGGAAATGATGGGTTGCAAGCTATGCATAAAGTCTTATCCAAAGAGATCAACCTCCTTCATCCTCTTGATAGAGGCAGTTGCTTTCATGCACACTTGCTAATGCAGCAATCACTTTAACATGCATGCCCAATAACCTTTTCCAGCATGTCACCCTATTGTAGTTTTCATCTAAGTCCTCTGCAGCAAACACTCATGTATGGCCTTTCAATCTGTGGAGTTGACACCTATTGTTTTGATATTGCATGTATCTATTATCAGGCTGTGATCATACGTTTGTAGGAGTTTAATGATGATATCAGTGTGAAAACATGCCATGTGTTATTCTTGTGTAAATGTATCAACTCCATATTGATAATCGACAGTTAAAACTACTATTGCTGCTACTGCTGTACTTCATAGTCCATAAGGAAAGTTAGTCAATCAATTTGTGTCCAGACCATACCAATGTTTGTGATAGAGTTGCAATGCTTTTAGTTACTACGTGAATAAATCTTCTGATACTTGTTCCCACTAAGAACCTAGTTTCAGTGTGCATTTTATAAGAGCTAACATAATAGTAAAAAAAACAGGGAACATATTACCTCTGAATCTCTTATCTCCCACTTTGGTTACAGGCCACTTGTGCCTGGAGACTCATTACATGCAGCTCTTGCCGCTAAAGTATACACAGTAACAGTATTTGAGCGGGTGGCTGTGAGAATGAGATCAAGTGACAGGCTTTCACCATCATCAGTCTGTTGTGTTTTTACTGTCTAGCAGTATGTTGATAGTAAAAACGAGAAAGATACAAAGTTATGTGGAGGGTTAGAAGCAAAGGCTCAAAGCTATCCTCTGAAATTTGCATGGTATCTATATCTGAGCTTGAGGCTGCAAGTATGAAAATGAGTGAAAGTGTTTCTACTTATCCCTGCTTTCCTGCTTTTCCCATTCTTTCTTTTCCACAACTGTTTGGCTAGGTGACACATCATGGGCATGTGAAATGAAGAAGATATAAGGGTAGGTTGGGTTGAGAGGGAGAGGTGAAAGCCAACTGGACTTGTAAATCAGAAGAGATTAGGGGATGTTGGGGAAGTGGGATGTGAAAAGGAGAATTAGGTAAGAACATTCCATCATCCTTGATCTTTTCAGCCCCATCACTGGCTACAGCATCAGTCATCACAGTGCCAATGATTGTAATGTCTGCTGCATAAGTTTGAGGACATACAGCATTGTCTGCACCTTGCTGTTTATGTTACTGTCTTTGGTTGTATGTCACTTTGTCCTGCAATACAGAGGGAAATGTGTCAGAGAATGGAGTGAAATGTATTTGGGTGATGTAGTTATCATTGTTGGCAGTGTGCGCAAGGTGTGGTGTAAAGTTTGGAGAAGTGCTAAGTGTCTGAGATTGAGGTGAATCTATGAACTTGAGACATGACTTGTAATTGGCGATTGTCGGTAGATTAATGATGGAGTTCTGGTGCACTGAGCAGTGTGAGAGGCTGATGATGCAGTTATTTAAATGTGGCATTGGAAGATGAATTCACTGACCATAATCGCCTGTGTATGGGGTCATTGATTGTCTTCAGTGCTACATCCAGATTCCTGAGGCTGGATCTAGGCGTTGGTGTTTATGGCTATTCTGCTTCCATCTTGGAGTTTATCTGGAGGACCGCCTGGAACCAAAAGGATATAGGACCTCCACCATTCTCTCCACTCCTGCACCCAGACTCCATCAGAAAAAACCCAAAGCTTCCTCTCTTAACATTGTGCCACTCCTGTGTCTTTCCCATGCAGGTTAAAGTCACTTCTACAATGAATTCCAGCACCTCTTCCAAGCCAAAATCCCTTTAAATGTTGCCTGCATTCTTTAGGGAGTGCAGGCCAGCACAAAGTCGTTTTGCTCTCATGATTTTGAATCCCTTTCTCAAGTGTGTAGCCACCTAACACAATGGTTAGCATAGGGTCCGTTGCTGTGATCATGTTAATCAATAGATGACACCGTTTGTGTGCAGCCTGCATTAAATGGTTGAATGTGAATTAATCATGCATTTTAATCTTTGTACCTGTTTTTGGGTGTTATCCAATTTCTCCTCCATTTGATCATGGCCAGGCATGAATTATTTTCTGCTTTTAGACCAAGTGTACTCTTGCCACTCTGACACCTCTTTATTAGTTCTCTGGCTGTCATCAGCTTTATAATGTAGATTGGAAAATCAAACCTAGATTTTCATAGATAGTAGGAACTGCAGATGCTGGAGAATCTGAGATAACACAGTGTAGAGCTAGATGAACACAGCCGGCTCAGCAGCATCAGAGGAGCAGGAAGGCTACCCTGAAGAAGTTACCCTCCTCCCTCTGGAAAAACCTCAGTGGATCTCTCTCCCACTGCAACTCTTTCGTCCATCCCCACCTCTTTGACCTGTCTGTCTCCTCTCCACCTATCTTCTCCTCTATCCATCTTCAATCCGCCTCCCCCTCTCTCCCTATTTATTTCAGAATCCCCTTCCCCTCCCTCATTTCTGAAGAGGGGTCTAGGCCCGAAACGTCAGCCTTCCTGCTCCTCTGATGCTGCTTGGCCTGCTGTGTTCATCCAGCTCTACACCGTGTTATCCTAGATTTTCATAATCTGGGTAGCTAACATACATCCTGGATAAACTTGCTAAACTATTGGGGAACCAAATTCCAGATCTGATTTATTTCACATAAACAACATACTGGCATACCTGCTCAAAACCATGCAGTGAGTAGAGTTATAATCAAACTTCTCATTGACTTTTGAAGTGAAAAACTCTGTGCCTCATTGTAAAGTCATGCCCTGAAAATAGAACTCTCCTGGTTTTTACACAGGTATTGATTAAATATGGTCGACAGAGATGGAAGCTAAAAGGAAAAATTGATGCTGATGACAGACAAACATGGGATGAAGAAGAAATGGTCTTCCTACCTCATATTAATGAAGACATTGAAATAAAGGTGCTTATTTGTAAATTTAAAGGATTAATTTGCAAACGTATTAAGCGTGAGCATTATGTATTTGTTGATTAGACATAGCATAGTACAGATAAAACTCCCTCTGTTTGCATCAATACATTGCCTCAAACCCTGCCAGATGTGTATTCCATGCTGCACATGTAAGAATGTTGGCATTTCTCTGATCACTCATTCCTATAATTATCTGGGCACCAATTTTCAGTGACTTGAGTAAATGGTCACATACTGGAGAAATCCTGAGTTTAATGAAAAGTACCTTTGATGGAAAAAGGAGAATTTGGAAGGACAGTTAAAATTTTACTCATGGTTGGATCCAAGTTCATTAGAATCTAGGTTGAGATTACCCAAATCAATTGTGTATCCTTTTCAACGAAATGTAAGTCAACTTTAATAATTTGTTTTTTTTTCTTAGAAACTGTACAAAAGTTTATGGAAAAGTTTACTTATCCTTAGAAAACAATTAACATTCTGGCAATTAGTCCAGTGTCTAATTTTCCAGAATTCCTTCCAAATGTCAACTGTTTTGATGCAATATCAGACTAAATTATTTTTCAAGGAATGAATAGTTCCATTTTAATTATTGAATTACTACAATATCACACAAATATTGTGCATTAAAATGCAACAGGATTGATATCACAAAATAAACTTCTCCACATACAGGAAGTTGCATGATTATGCACTTTATTAATACGGTATTGTAACATTAACCACGTTCTGAGTTACTGAGACAGTGTGAATTTTGAAATTATTGACTGTGAAAATAGACTTAAGTAATAGCAATGTCTAATGAGTAATGATGTTGGTGAAGGATTTACTGACCACAATTTTGCACTTGGATAGACATTTGCGACTATTATTAAACAACTCATTTGTGCAAATATTTCTATTGAGTGGCAAGTAATCGTGATGCTCACCTTAATGTCTGCCGATTTTACATGATGTTGGTTCATCTTTAATACTTATAACTACAATAATGAATGTAAGTGTCTAGATACTGGTGAAATTTGGCTATTCATAAACGTCAGCTTTAGTGTCAGGGTTTGCTGTATCACTGCTTTGAATCTCACACTAGGATTTCCAATTCGTTATATGTACAAGATAATCAAACATTTTCAAATTGGCAATTTCCCAAATTTAGTCAAGTTTTGAATTAAAATGAGCGATAAACCAGATAAGAAATAAAGGGCAGTCTCATGAATAATTTATATTAAACCAACTACGTGCACTCTATGCGACAGTTAAGATATCACGTGAATGAATTCTGGAGCAAAACACATGAACTATGTCATCAGTTACTGTTGTTGCTGTATTCCGTATTATCCATTACTGCTGTTGCATTTTGCTGAAAATTGCGAATTATACTTGATTCTCACATGCATCTTTAATTAATGCTAAAAAGAAACACCCGCAGATCTGAACTAAGAATTGCAAAGTTAGGCAACACGCCCATACTGCTCGCTGTTTCCTTCCCACTCCTTGATCCTCTGTCTCGGCTTTTCACTGCTGCTTGCTGTTTTCCTTTCCTGACCCAATGCAGTGAGTGAGACCAGTGTGTGAGGAGATGCAAGATCAGAGCCCAAGTGGGAGGGTTGGCGAGTGGGTTGGTCATTGATCAGGGAGGTCAGCAAGTGGGTAGGTCAGGGAGCAAGAGGGTCAGTGGGCATGTGGGATGGTGAACAGGAGGGTCAGTGAGTTGCTGTGACAGCGAGTGGGTGGATCAGTGCGGAGAAGGATCAGCAAGTGGACTGGCTGGGAACTGAGTGGTCAGTGAGCGGGAGAGTCGGGCGAGGAAGCTAGTGGAAAGTTGGGAGAGGAGCATGCAGGAGGGAAGCTACCGAAGTTCTGCATTCCTAGACAGCTGAATACATTGCTAATGTCAGTGAGAAGCAGGTAGCATGAGAATGTGGTTTTGGGATGGATTATAGCCTTGCCCTTGGCACATCAAGTCCTTGGGGCTAAACTGCTGACATTGACTACTATTCATTTCTGATCCCATTGCTTTCTCAAAAATTTTCTGGAGAATTTCTTGGCCAGGATAGGTAGCTTCCATCTCTCCTCCTTCGACTTCCTGTACAGAGGCATCCACTTTCACACCAGAAAATCTGGGAGGCCTCTCTCTTTCACCTTGCATCACTCTCATGTCTTGTCCAGATCAAATTTGTCTTGTGATGACTTCCAGCACTTGCTTCAACTGCAATGCAACCTTTTAAGAAGTGCATGAAGGCTTTAAGTAGTGCAGGTCAATTGGAACTCATGCCAGTTGATCACAATTTTGCACTTGCTGAGTTTAGTATAGTTCTTAAGGCTAAAGGGATCAAAGGGTGTAGGGAGAAAGTGGGTCCAGGTTACTGAGTTGGATGATCAGTTTTGATAATATTGAATGGCAGAGGAGGCTTGAAGGGCTGAATGGTGTAGTCCTACTTCCATTTTCTATGGTATTTAAACGTGTGTTTACTGCTGAGTGCGGGTTATATTTAACTAGCAGGTAACACACAATTTCTGTCCTGTATTTTAAGCTTCAGGAGCACATTAAGCATATACTGCTGACCTACCCACACCTTGTTTCTGACAATATTGAATTTCGCTGTTAGTGAGTAGGAGAATATTGTGAGGAAGCTAGTGGAAAGTTGGGAGAGGCAGCTTGGAGGTGGTTTGGAAATGGAAACAAGTTGGAGGTTTGGAAGAGAAGTTGAACAGGGGGCTTAGGGAGGGAAGAAGAGTGGGAGAGCCTGAGAGGTAGCAAAGAGTAGCCTGTTTTTAAAAGTAGACAGGTCATGCTCCATGCTAAAATGTAAATGGCAGCAGCTTTATTGGGGAAGAGCCCTCATTTGCAAATTGCACTAAAGTGGAAGCATGCTATTGAATGCATTTAAAACCTGTGATACTTGTACAAGTAAAGAGGGTTAACATCTTTTATCAATATGTTCTTTGTAATTTAGAAAAAAACTTTCAGTTTTGTAAACTTACATTCTGATTCACTAATAGAGGTGTGGAAGAGGTTGCTGAAACAGACTTTTCTCTCCGTAGGTAGCTGAGATGAAGGGTTTGATGTCTGTTTTGGTTGGAGCAGTAACTTGCGAAAGTGCGGATTTCTTCTCTGCACAGCCTCAGATAATGATTGTGGATATTACGGACTTAGGCACAATTAAACTTCAGCTGGAAATCACATGGGAGTAAGTACTATTAAAAATATCCAAAGGCAGCATGGTGCTTTAATACATATGATCCATTTTAGATATAGAATGTTGAATCACAGATACACTAAATGTAAGCCTAATTTGCTCCCCTTTGGCACCTCTACTCCAGCAATAATATTTATGTTTACTCTAATGGAATTGCATTCAAAAATATTATTGCAACAAATGTTCCCTTTGTTGATTGACCTATAGTTTCACCTTTAGTAGAAATATCCTGTTGAGCTGGTTGTGATCAGAAATGCAGCACATCAGGTCTCAAACATTCTGAGGTTTTGAACTATTTATCTCAACAATATGAATGCATTAACAGTCCAGTGTAATTTCCATTTCTTCCTTTTTTATAAACAGGAAAATCCTATTTGTAAATAATCTGTGCTGCTAAATGCTCATCTAAGCACAAAAACATACAGGTTTCAGGTTATTTGTTGGGGTAAATATTCAACAATGTCGCAAGTTGCAGCTGAAACGTTTTAAATAATTACTATATATGTTGTAGAAAAGCAACTGAGTTTAAACAATCCAATCAAGGCACATGCATGATCCACACCTCAATATGGTTAAATAGTTCTTTCATTTATGTATATGTTAAGTAATAAACTTTGAATTATTAAGTCTGTGTATTTTAGAAGAAAGAAGTGTTTTGCATCATTCACAAATGTATATAATATTATTAATTAATAATCCAAATACTTTATATAGTAAAAAGTTTGTAAAACAAAGAACTGCGGATGCTAGACATCTGAAACAAATGAAACCAGAAAGTGCTGGAGAAACTCAGCAGGTCTGGCAGCATCTGTGGAGAGAAAACAGTTATGTTTTGAGTCCTGTGGTCCTTCTTCAGAACTAGATGCAACTAGAACATAGTGGTATTTACGTTGATGACAGTGGGGTGAGTGAGTGGATAAGTAGAGAAGGAGCCCAGAGAGACAAAGAGAAAAAAGGGTAGGCAGTCAAAGGGATTATTGATAGTTGGTCAGGGAAGAGAAGTTGGATAGGTAATAATGGGGACTATGAGTAGCTCAGAATGAATTGGATGTGCTGTGCTGAAAGCAACTCTTTTCGTGAGCGGACCTGGGGTTGTGGGGTTAGGCAATAAACAAGGAACAGGGTGTATATGCTCCGACATTATTGAACTTGATGTTGAGTCCTGAAGGCTGTAAGGTGCATAAGTGTCAATGAGGTGTTATTCCTCCACCTTGCATTGAGCTTCACTGGAGTACTGCAGCAGGCTTGAGACAGAAATGTTAGCTTGGGAACATAGCGGTGTATTAAAGTGGCAGGCAACTGTAAGCTTGGAGTCATTTTCACAAATGAATGTAGGTGTTCCACCAAGCTGTCGCCCAGTCTGCATTTCGTCTCCCCAATATAGAGGAGCCCATTCACATTGTGAGCAGTGAATACAGTAGACTAGATTGACTAAAGTGCATGTGAATAGCTGCTTCACCTGGAATGTGTGTCTGGGCCTTTGATAATGAGGATAGAAGAGGTAAACAGGAAAGTGTTGCACCTGCAGTGATTAACTGGGAAGGTGATGTGGGGGTGTGGGGAGGTGTTGGGAGTGGAGGTGGAGTGGACCAGGCTATCCTGGAGGGAACAGTCCCTGTGGAATGCTGACCAGGAGTGGAATAAGTATCTGTCGTAGAATACCACTGGAGTTGGTGGAAATGGCAATTTATGATCCTTTAAATGCAGAAGCTGGTAGAATGGAACTTTAGGACAAGGGGGACCCTATCATTTTGTGGGAGGTAAGAGAAGGGGTGAGGGTAAAGTGTGAAAATGGATCATACATGGCTAAGGGCTTGTCAATCATGGTAGAGGAGACTCCTTGGTTGAGGAAAAAGGTGGACTTGTCTGAGGTTCCCCTGAGGAAGGTGGTATCATCAGAACATATGTGATAGAGACAGAGAAACTGGGAGAATGGAATGGTGTTCTTACAGGAGGCAAGGTGTGAGGATGTATAGTCCAGGCACCTGTGGGAATTTGATGGGTTTGTAGTGAATATTGATGGCCAGCCCATCCGCAGAAATGGAAACAAAGATATTGAGGAAAGGGAGAAGTCAGAGACGGTTAAAATGAAGGTGAGGGAAGGATAGGAATTGAAAGCTAAATTAATACATTTTCCTAATTTCAGAGGAAAGAGGGAGGCAACTCCAATGATTTTTCGACGTACCAGAGATAAAGTTATGGGAGGGACCCAAGTAGGATTGAAACAAGGCATAATGGGGGCCCATACCTGTACCCATAGCAACACCTTTAGATCTAAAGACAGTGAGAGGAGTTAAAGGAGAAGTTGTTCAAAGTGAGGACAAGCTTGGCCATCTGAATATCTGGTCCAATGTTTCAAGGTGAAGGTTTCTTCTTCAGGACAGTTCTAAAGAAGAGTCGTTCAACTCAAAACTTTCTTTCTCCCTGCACTTTTGCTGACAGATCTATTGAAGTTTTTCAGCAACTTCTGATTTTATACCTCATAAATATGACTTGAGCAGACTTATTGACCATGAACTCTGTCTCCAAGTACCTGTTTTTCTTTTGTGATACAATGGCATTTTGGAGGCAAAATAGATTCCTGGTCCACATACACGCTCACACTAGAAAATCTTGGAGGCCTCTCTCTGTCATCTTGCATCATTCTTGTGTCTTGTCCAGATCAAATTTGTCTTGTGATGACTTCCAGCACTTGC